CGGCAACGCGGCCCGTTAATGCAGCGCAAATGTATTAAAAGCCAAAGCCAAAATGATGCGGCCTCAGGCGGGCAGTTACAACGTCACGACTGCGAGGCGACGCCACATTCGGTCGATGTCCGAGCACTCTCGGATCATTCTCGCTCACGCACGCTCACACTCACACATCAGCGGAGGCTCATTAGCCACTTCGTAGGGCTTGTGATGAAAGCAGTGGTAGCCAGAGGAGGGGCCGTTCCACGAAACGGGGGGCTGCCACAGAGGTGGCCGCTTTAATCAACTGCGCTGAGCGGGGTCCAATTAGCTGGCAGATAAATCACAGCACTGACCGCAGAAGCCATGTGAGGCTTGAAAGTCAAAGGCGCGGCCGTGTGAATTTCAAGTCTGCAACGGCGCTATTCTTTGAATTGGATGTTGATGATGACGTCAAATTGACTCAATCTAATGTCTGCTCCCTAAACTGGATGTTGTCGAAATCAAATTGGAACGAGAAGTTGCAAACCTTAGTCCATTTTAAAGGAGGTGTGTATAAAGCTAGCTAAACATGAACTGGAACTAGGATGGACGAGGTAATGAATGGAATGAAGTTGGCCAGGATGGTGAACTTGGACTGGGGAAAAATGAAAGATGGCATTGTACAGCGAGAGGTTGCTTATGTATCTCGGTGTTAAGGTCATGATTTGGTTCACTGTGAGAAAGACCAAAATGCCAGGTGTAAAAGTGCTTTTCTTTTGCATAACCACAAAAAAACAAACAAACAAACAAAAAAACAACAACACTGCACTACCATATATGTTCAAATGTAAAGTGCATCAACATGCGTGTTGGCATTCTTCTCCATAACAAGCCAAGAGGCCACAAAGGGATGCAGGATTCTTAAATATATACAAGTCATACCTGAATAAAAGTCACAGAACCAGTCATACTGTGGAAAAAAAATGTGGAAAACAATCAATATAAAACTATTTTTAAAATATTGAGTTGGGGGGGAAAAAAAAAAGAAAAAACACATCTGCAGGTGCCGAAGTGCAAGTCGGCGGTAGTCAACTATAAACTAATTTTATAAAATGCTTATTCATGTATTGTTGTGTATTACTATTCCTTGAAGGGTTTGGTTAACGGAGTAAAATTGTTACTTTGAATTTAACCCAGAGGAGATCAGATGAACCTGCCCAATGACAACGTGGCAAAGTTATCGTTTCGTAATCAAACATCGACATTGTAAATGGCTCCCACAGTCGTTACAAGCTGAGGAATGATACCGTGCGCAAAACTGCGGGTCACTCTTGGTACAGTACATACGCCAACGCCATTGACAAACGCTCCCATTTTCACCTTCAGCAAAAGGCTACTGAGTCACTGCCCGACTCTTAAAAACATAAAAAGGCAAGAGAAGCATGACACCAGTTGGGCAGATGAGTCAGCGAGTACGAAGACACCAATGGCTCCATATTGTTTACGGTGGTGACTCACTGATGCACTTGAACATGCGGCGAGGACGAACGACTCTTAGAACGTTTTCAGCCGCTCGCGCAACGTGAGCAGTTTTTCAAATGTGCAATACACACCTCCAAGCCCTCCTTTAACTTTGTTCAATTTGGGGAAGTCAAAGGCTAATACTCCTGTCCTGCCAGCTGCAGTTCATGCCAACACTCCCGCCTTGCATAAAATCTCATTCTCGTCGCCCCAGAGGAAAACAAACAACTCGGGCCTCGGAGGTGACACGGCAGTGACTTCACTTTATGGATTACTGAAAAAAAAATACTGTGCTCATTTAATCACTCCCTACTACACTGGAGCCTTAAGATAGAAGAGAGAATGAATATTTGTGTCACAGAGACATCGATTATTGGCCTCAATAACAGCCCTGTATTTTGAGAGAGCAAACACAAACAGAGGCACCGGAAGGGTAAGAAACAAAATGACCTCATCTCCAATTCAAATGTTGCATACAATCATCAAAATGCATTTCGACCATGCGCCTGGAAACACCCGCGTCGCGCCACCTGCGGCAATTTCGTCTCCAGAGCCATCAAGGTTAATTGGAATCAGACGGATAAAAGAAGTTCAATATTGCAAAAGTGACAAGGCATTATGTTAATGGTCGTTTCAAGTCCTTGTTATCAAGGTGGAATCTATCTCGGCCGCATCCCTTGAGGTCAGCGTCCATACATAGCAATTAGCACAGTCGCGTGCGCGGGTATGTGCGTGCGTGTGCAGCAAGGATTAAATGTCAGATAGCTTATCTTCATACAGCGAGCAAAGTTCTTCAAATGGTGGCACATCAATTCAAAATTCACAGAAAAAAAAAACACCACAAGAAAATGAGCACAGAATGCCAAGCAGCATCGAAAACTTACTGAATGCGCACACGGTGACTATGGTGCATTGACCCGATGCAAATGAGAGCCAAACAGTCGCTAAGTACGCTTCTCCTGTATCTATTATCACTCCGGTGAATGTGCTCAACTGTCACATGACTGACATAAGGGAGCAGCGCACTGCTAAAAAATACACAGTGGAACCTTCAGAGTCGATTTCCCATCGGAAGTTTGGTCAAGTGAATTACTTAACAGACTCTCATAAACTGTTCAGGCAGGGATTTTATACATACTGTGTGTGTGTGTAGTCGCTAAGTACGCTTCTCCTGTATCTATTATCACTCCGGTGAATGTGCTCAACTGTCACATGACTGACATAAGGGAGCAGCGCACTGCTAAAAAATACACAGTGGAACCTTCAGAGTCGATTTCCCATCGGAAGTTTGGTCAAGTGAATTACTTAACAGACTCTCATAAACTGTTCAGGCAGGGATTTTATACATACTGTGTGTGTGTGTGTGTATATATATATATATATATATATATATATATATATATATATATATATATATAAACACTATGTATATATCGCTCGTGTGTG